CAACAAGGATGCTACATGAAGTTTCCTTCAAATTATAAAGATAGACGTGACTATTGGGCACTTGTGAAAACAAAAGCCTGACATGTGACTAATATTCAAGGAATCCTATCAGAAAATGACTATTGCAATACATTGATTGAACTTCCATTCCAAGAGGATCAACCACCTAATGTACAACCACCTTCAATAGATAAAAAAACCTTAAGGCTATGTTTGATTTCCAGGTTTTTTTTTTGGCATTGGACACAACTTTTATCACCAATTGTAAAAAAAAAAATCTCTTTAATTGACAATTTTCATAAAAAACAAAATCAAACAAACACCAAAAGATCCAAAATTTAAATATTTTTCACGTGAAATTATACCAATCAAACACAATTAATTGCAATTTTCAGAAAAACAATTCTAAACAATTCAATTCCTTGAAATTCATTTTCTTTTCATCCAAATTGCACTCTTACAATCAAACAGACCCTAAGAGTATTCAGTTTGCATCAGCTTGGCTATGTACCAATAAATAGTTGATCAAAACAAGAATTATATGGACGTGGACAAGCATCGGACACATAAGATAAAACATCAAAAAAACTAAACAAACAAGGTCTATGACGGGCATTTTCCAGGGAGTGAAGGGCAGTTTTTGATTGGCAATGTTTTCTTTAATTTTTATTTAATTGTCAATGAGAAAATGCCAAGTGTATGTGTGTATTTTTTTCAGTCACTTACCCGTCCCTATGCATTTCTCATAAAACATTGTGTTTAATTACCTCCAAAACTTCATACCTAAACTTCAACTTATTAACTTACGAAAGGTATAAAAAGAAAGAGCACTACTATGCGTACAGAAAAATGCTGCCATAATTTTCACATAATACACTAGATAGTTTTTTAGAGAGAGAGAGTCTATCAAAAAAGTTGAAAAAAGATAGTACTAGCTTGAGATCAAGAATGAAAAGCAGGGAAAAATGTACTTTTGAGGTAAAGAAAAGGTTGGTGTCTTGTTCCAAATATCACAAAGCCAAAAATTACTTATTTTCCAAAAATTTCCTTCATCTTTAGATTAAGGTTTGGATTATTTTATGGGTTTAGTGTATCAACTATGACAATGGAGTTACTGGAGAGGAAGCATTGCATCCTAAAAGCCCATGTTCTTGCAAGCATTCCACAATTGTCATTAATAATCCTTATTTTCTACAAATGGAATGACTGTTTTCATCTACTTCTGCTTACAAGATTATGGGTTTCTTTTCTTTATTCCTGTCGTCGTTCATTTTGTTTTGATTATTAATTCCCTTGTCGAACGGTATGTGCCCTATCTTCTTTACTATAGGAGTACCTGTTTTCTGAATCACCTCGTCTGAAAAATTTAACCTTTGAACACATTTTTATCCCATTTTTATGTCTCCTTTTGAGTATCTGAGAAAATATGAAGATCAGGGATGGATGCTCTAGTTTTCTGTGCATCTGATATTAATCTTGTGTTAAATTCAGTTTGCAGGAAGATAAATATTTTAGAACCAAATAATGCTATTTATCATCACGATGATAGTGTATCGGTGACGTGTCAATCAATTATCTCTCACATTTTTCTCTCTCAAAAAATTGAACTGTCCAATTTCATTATTTTACTTAAACTGTTATATCACCGATATTCCATCATTATAATAATAAATAGAACGGATAATTTTGTTTTGGTAGTTCTGGTAGTAGATGCTTTACATGTAGCTGATAACATACGACAACCCGAAAATGAGGTGCTCGGGAGTGTTGATCC